ATCGGGACGATTGTGTACGCGCTCTCTCGCAGGGAGGGAGGAGAGTTTCTGGGAACCGAAATTTTTCGACGACCGTCTACGAGGTCGAAGACGATGCCCCCGTTCTCGATCCTTCCGCGAATAGACCGCGACCTTTGGGTTGTCGCGCTGCCGAGCTAAGTGAGCTTGCAAACATCTCGCTTTCTGAGAGCCGACAGACGGATGACGGATGCGCGAGTTAACGCGATTAGTGGGGAGATGAACCGCCTCGAGGTCGAAGTAATTTTCACTCCCGATCTACGACAACGATTTTTTCCATGTCGGTGTGAACAATAAGAAGGAGGATTGGCATTATATAAGCGATATATATAAAGTGGAATTTAAAATTATTCGATCGCAAACATTTATAAATTACGCCAAGCGTAATTGTTTTTCAATGAATTTTTCCTTGTTCCATATATATATACGTGATTCGAGTAAAAATAAAGTTTTTATTTAAAAAAAAATAAGATTCTCCTTCATTCTGATAACCTCAAATCTCCTTTGTAAACTTGACAGTAAGAATATCTTTAATAACTTTATCTCTGATCGTCACTTATATTCCTTTTCTCAATACACTTAAAATTCATGGTAACGAGTGTACATCGATTTACGATAAATATCCATGCGAACAATCTCGATCAATGGACTGGAATTTCGAGGCTGAATAATAAGAATCCAAACGAGATCCTCGAAATTTCACGGGATCTTGAAAAGAGCGATTACGAGACGCGTCAAGTCGATAAACGAAGCGAGTATATTTCTCCGCCTCCGTTCGGAGAGGCGCGTGACTCGTCCGCACACAGTGACCCTGATACGCGCGCGATTCAAGCGGCGGATTCGCGGAACACGCGTCATCCTCGTTCCAACGAATCCGCTTCCTCGCGCCCGCTTCCTTCCTTTCCTTCCTCACCCGTGACTTTCCCACCGGGGATGACTCGACTCCGCGCTCTGGATTCCGTGCCCTGGCACTACGTGGTACCACACCTGTCTGCGGATCGGTCACTAAGGCCCCCTCTCTCCCCCAATCGCGTCGGGAAATCGCGTTTTCCTCGCGTCGTGATAAAGGCCGCCGCGTTCCACGTAACGAGTTATCTAGATCT